TACGGACTGCAAGTTGCTACTTTGTTCTTCAGCATCGGCGGGGGATCTGACGTTGCACTTTGGTGTTGGGGTCAGACACTCCTACATGATAAGACACGAGTGTAGAGGTAGCGAATAGGGTTAGGAGGACCATATGAGGAAGGGGGGTGAGTTATACTTCATCTCTGAGTCCGGGTCACTTAGGTAAGTGGCGTGCACCTAAGGGTTGCCCATGTATGCGTGCATGGTATTGTTTGTCCTATTGGGGTACTTCTAGGTTTCTTTCCTACTCCTCTGAAGTCTTGGTTGTGTGCGTTGGTGTGCAAACTGCTTACTAACTTGATCGATGTAGAGATGAAGTATCTTGCTATGAATGCCATATCTTTCTACAGTGCTTTGTCTTTTCCTTATGAATGGATGTAGTCTGTAGGCTCTCTCTTGAAGTTGAATTTGTTTTTCATTACGGTAGAGGCAGAAAGTAGGACCTTGTGGTACTCTTCTTGCTTGGGACTTGGTCGCAACCTACGTGGGACCCATAGCAACTCAGTGGGACGGGCCCCAAACAAGAAGGGCACCTTGGACTCAAATCTGTTGACGCAGTGTCGCTCTCTTTTCTGTCTGGAATACGTTACTCTTCTTTTTTATTAGAGCACTCGTTGTCGAGGGGATCTCGGCTGAGATGTTTTGCGGACTGATGACGCACAATCCAATGCTTGACCTGCGCCTTATACACCACTCAATTCTCCATTGTTGTATGTTGTTACTTGTAGTCTGCTTTGTTTTACTTTGATGGTGCCGATTGGATTGGGCTCAAGGGGATCTCGTACTTGATTAGACCGGACTAAAATGCGGTGTCAAAACTCTCTGAATGCATTTTATTTTTTAGTTGGTTGCTCTCTAGTCCAAATATTTTGTCGCTCCTGCTAGGAGTTCTACCTTCTCTTATGTGCCTTCAGTTTGTTTCTTTTTACTGAAGTCCATTATATGCTCGCAGCGACGTGCGGACAAGAGAGAAGAGAGAGAGAGGCCATGGCAACCGAAGAAGCTAGTAGTTCCAACGTGGCATCAGCCAAGCTTTCTGATATTTTAAATGCTCCTATGGATGCAGCGAGTGAGGCAGATAAACCGTTGTACTAGACCCTTTATCAGAAGGAAGTGGCCGAGGAGGAAAAGGAGGAAGAGGCTAAGCGAAAAACAGTCGTTGAAGATCTTGAGACTATTTTTAAAACAGTCTCAACCTTGCCTGCTGCAGATATTAAGAAAGATGTGGTCAAGTATGTGCGTGCCCTTGTACATTACCATTTGCTCAGCGAACTCCCGAGTCTGAAGTCCCAACGACTCGATGAAATGAGTCAGATGCGTACTCAAATGGCAGATATGGGCAAAGATCATTGCGATCAGATACAACAAATGGCAATCATGCATCAGGCCCAAATCTCAAGCTCTCTTCCCCGTTCTACCTTTGCACCTCTCCATCCTTCTTCTTCTTCTCAGTCTTCTTCGTTGAGTTTGGTGGCTAATCAGTCAGGACCTGCAACCAGGGTTGTCAGGCGGGGGGCCCCGGGGGCAAAGCCGGGGTAGGGGTTTGACCCCCGGACCCCCGCCGCGGGGG